CAAGGTTTGGCCATCCTGACTTCCAAGGAGCACGCTGGCTGTACTTCTTCCAACACATTTCTTTGTTCTTTTGGGAAGTTAAATAATCAGAAGTTAAATATGTAAATCATTATTACATATATGATTTGATGTATTTGAGTTATGGTGTCAGACGAAAATATTAAAAGTAGACATTAGAAGTTAAATAACACTTGTACTTACATTTTGAATTATGATAAGCAATTTTTACTTGACAAACTGATTTCTTCATTCACTTCTAGCTCCTTTTGCAACACATATTTCTTTACTAGCGATGACTTAGATTGTACTATTATTTACTCATAGCAGGTCATTTTCTCTGCCATGAGGCCTAAAATAGATTAAATTTGTTCTTAGGATCCTATCTCCAGACATGTAAAGGGTATATATGGAAGAGAGACATAGATGGTAGTACAAGTTGTCACAGAGTCAATTCTGAGTCATGGTGAACCCATGTGTGTCAAAGTAGAACTATGCTCTGTAGGGTTTGCAAGGCTTTGACCTTTTGGAAGCTGATTACCAGACCTTTCTTCTTAACTGCCTCTGGGTGAGTTTGAACTTCCAAACTTTCAGCTAGTAGTCAAGCCACTTTGCCATGTGTCCCACTATTCTAATTCATTATTACATATATGGCTTGTTCTGCTTTTTCTTAGACGTTAATTTTTGCTGCTTTTAGGAGGCTTTTCGATGGGAGGATGCATGGCAATGCATTTAGCATATAGAAATCATCAAGATGTGGCCGGAGTATTTGCTCTTTCCAGTTTTCTGAATAAAGCATCTGCTGTTTACCAGGTAAGCACTAGATGTGAAAGATGCACACACTGAATTTAAAAACGAAATCCATAATTAAACAATAGCAGCTGATGCATGAAGCATTCCAGGGAATTCTTGGACAAATGAGTTATGTTGATTAATACCAGCTGGTCATTAATGTTAAGGAAATGCTGTGTATAAAGAATGTTGTTAAAGAAAGTGTCAAAGGAGAAAGGCTAAAAAAAGAAAAAAAAAATCATAAAAATGTAAATGATAATGACCATCATCTATTTTTTCCTTTTAGTTATTGGATCTTTCTTGCCTCTATGTGTTCCAGAATGATTTGTTCGAAAATAATTTTCTTATACTTTTCTATTTTTATGTTTTGTCTAGGCTCTTCAAAAAGCTAATGGTGTGCTTCCTGAATTATTTCAGTGTCATGGGACTGCTGATGAGTTGGTTCTTTATTCATGGGGCGAAGAAACAAACTCAATGTTGCGGTCTTTAGGAGTAAACACACAGTTTCATAGTTTTCCGGGTGTTTATCATGACCTAAGCAAAACTGAGCTAGAAAAACTAAAGTCATGGATTTTAAACAAGCTACCAGGAGACACTGGAAGACAAAATGAATCAAGGATGACTTGTTAATAGATATGTAATATGTTCTTTACTGCCAGATTACAGTTTGATTAATGATCATTAAATATTAAGAAATACAAACAATTTACTGGCTCATGTAATTGAATGGCTTAGCACCCTAGAGAGTAGCAGTACAGTCTTGCTAATGATAAACATTAAACAAATATCTGTATATTATTTAAGATATATTTATGTAAATAATTTGAGACCCTTAAGTGTTTCAACATTTAAAC